TGTCCTCGTCGCCTTATATCGCTCTATGGTATCCTTGAAATTCCATAAGTCTTCTTCGAACTCCCATGATGCTTCTAACTCGGGGAGACCCTTCCACTTGATTAAGTATCGAGTCTTCGGTGGTACCCCTTGTTGCCGGACTATGTCGAATGTAAGCACCACTTCCACTTTCTTGTGAAATAACTTTGTGGTGATCGGCGGTGCCCTTGATGATAACCCTCGGCTTGGGTCTTCCACGTCCCCTTTATACGACTTCAACATACTTACGTTGAAGACGAGATGGATTTTAAGGGATGGAGGTAAGTCGACCCAATATGCTACGTTACCAACTTTCTTTATCACTGGGTACGGCCCCTCGTACTTTCGTATCAGTCCCTTGTGCAAGCTTCAAAAGGTTTTGAATTGTTGGGGCAATAGCTTCACAAGGACTAAGTCCCCTTGGGAGAACTCTCTTGGCCTTCTCTTTTTGTCGGTCCACTTCTTCATTCTTCTGCGGGCCCTCTCCAAGTATGATCGGGCTACGTTGGCTTGTTCCTCCCAAGTCTTTATCATCTTTTCGGCTCCGGGGCTCTTCCCTTCCTTGTTAGGTAGGGAGATCGTGTGCGGTGTTAATGGTTGTCGCCCCGTGACCACTTCAAATGGGCTTCACCTAGTTGATTCACTCTTCTGCAAATTATAACAGAATTGGGCCACGTCGAGTAACTTGGCTCAGTCTCATTGATTTGCACTTACGAAGTGCCTCACATAGCATTCGAGAAGTGCATTTCGGTTTGGGGGTGAAAACTTGTTGAGAAATTGAGCTCGGTCCCTAGGAGTTTGAAAAGTTCGGTCCAAAGTCGCCATGTGAATCTCGGGTCCCGGTCACTGATGATGCTCCTGGATAGCTCCCAATGCTTGACCACATTCTTGAAAAATCCGCGGGCAGCCTCCTCGGCGGTACAATCTTTGGTGCACGGAATGAATGTCCCGTACTTGAAAAATCGATCCACAAAGACCATGATCGATCCGTATCCCTCGGACTCTGGCAACGCGCTAATAAAGTCTTATGTGATAGAATCCCACGGTCCTGCGGGTATCGGTAGTGTCTCTAACAATCCCGCCGGGTGCCTGTTCTCGATCTTATCTTGTTGACAAACAAGACAAGTTCTGACATATGTCTCCACATAGTCCTTGAGTTGGGGCCAAAAATAGTTGGTCTCAAGCAAAGCCATCGTCCTACGTTGGCCCGTGTGACCTGCCCACTTGGTGCCATGGCATTCCTTCAGGAGGTCTCGCCTTAGACCGTCCCATTTTGGTACGAACAAATGTCGCCCTTTTGTGTAGAGAAGACCGTCCTCTACCCATAAGCGTTGGGTTTTACCTTCCTTAGCGAGGCCCATTAGAGCCTTGGTTACGGGGTCCCGTTCAAGCCTTTCTCGGATACGGGAGAGCACATCCCCGTCAGCTTTGCTGATGGCAGCAAGTTTAGTCTTTCGGCTTAATGCATCCGCCACTACGTTGGCTTTTCCCGGCTTGTACTCCAACGAGTAATCGAACTCCGCTAGAAAATCTTGCCATCGGGCTTGCTTTGGGGAAAGTTTCTTCTGGATTTGGAAATAGCTAGTGGCCACGTTGTCCGTCTTGATGCTGAAATGTGCCCCTAGCAAATAATGATGCCATACCCTTAAGCAGTGGATGATGGCTTGTTGGGTTCTGTTAGGAACGTCAAACAACATGCACAACATTGAACTTTATCGAAATAAATCCTAACGCAACGGAATCTATAGTTAGGATATGGACGTTTACCTTTTAAAATTTTTGCCGACTCTGAGACGATGTAGAGTACCGTTGGTGAAGTTCGTCTGAACACCACAACCTAATAGGCGGATAGGTTTGGCTTTTAGTTGATTGTAATCAACACGTCAAACGGATCACGAACGGACGGTGTGCGGGTCTCAGACGTCCGGTGCAGCGGGCAGCACGTGCGCGTCGGGCGCGGACAACGTGCGTGTTGATCGGGCACGTCAAGCGCTGGGCAGACACGCGGACGGACGCTGGCAGGATGCGTGTGTGCGCGTCAGGCGCTGAGCGGGATGCGCGAGATGCAGGCGAACGCGGAAAGGGCGCTGGGACAACGCGCTCGTGCAGGGGCAGCACTCCTACTCCTACGCGGACTGGGCGTGCGCGAACTCCTTGTGCGCAGGCGATGCGCGATCAGCAACAGGGACGTTGGGTGCGAGTCGCGATGGCGTGGGGTTGCACGAACAGACGTCGGCCTTCGTGCGGTGGTCCTGGGCGTCGCTGCTGGGAGCTGGGACGGGATTGACTGGGCGCCACTGCGGGCGCTGGCTCGCGGTAGCGATCGGCTGGGCTTGGACGGCGACCGGCGGCGATAGCCGATTTTCGGCGGCAGATCACGGCGGCGATGGGCGGCGATCGGCTGGGACAATGACCAGAAAATATATATATATATATAAAGGCTTGAATAATTGTACCCAAAAGCCTTCTAACGGATTACCTAAACACCTATTCCGATTAAACTTGGTGGAGCGTTTAATCGGATCTCCCTAA